TTACTATAAACTAGTTCCTGGCAGGGTAAAGTCACTGAACCATGTTTAAATATATAGTTAGTGATAGAAATTGGACTTGAACTCAAGTTTAAGCTAAAACAAACTGGAAGAACAGTTTTCATAGATTTGTTGCATTTTATTTGAAAATTACAGATTAGAGATAATCTTGGCATTTCAACTGATAACCTGACCTCCCCTTCACCACCAGTTTTGATTCCTCCACTGAGAATTCTTACACCTTGGCTTTTCAAGGTAAGCTTAATATATAAAAATTATAATTTAAAAGTTTCATTTAATAAATACATATGTAATCTGTTTTAAACATTTGATTCTTTAACTTTTGTATAGTTTTCTAGAACACTTGGTTTGTGACTTGTCATTCATTACGGGTTATATAGAGAGGAAAACGGGCATAGCATAATTATTATACTGGTGCATCATTTTTATTTAATACAACAAAAGTGAATATAGAAAATTATGTTTTAATTGTATTTAAGTGAAGTATAAATCTCGAATTTATATCAAAGAATATGCTGTGTACTTTCATTGTTTTAGTTTTTAAGTTTATTTATTTTAAGAGAGAAAGCGTGAGCAGGGGAGGGGCAGAGACAGAGGAAGAGAGAGAGAATCCCAAGCAGGCTCCATGCTATCAGCACAGAGCCCGATGTGGGGTTCGATCTGACAAACCATGAGATCATGCCCTGAGCCAAAACCAAGAGTCAGATGTTTAACCAGCTGAGCCACCCAGGCACTCCTACTTTTGAAGTTTTAATTTTTTTAAGTGTCATTTGATACGTTTGGTGCATTTTCCTAAATGAAACAGTGTGTGGTTATTCATAACCTATGTTGTACCATTGTAATGATAACAGTAGTTTCAGTAATCCTGATATTTCAATTCATTAAGAAATTGGGCCAACATAAAAATAAATGAAAGCAAATATATTGCTTGCTGTATCACTTTAACAGTATTTGAGTATTAAAATCAACATCTTTAAATTGTAGGCAACCATGTTGACTGATAAATATAAACAAGGTAAATTACACGCTTACAAACTTATTTGTAATACAATGAAAAGAAGACAAGATGTTTCTCCAAATAGAGATTTTCTAACACATTTCTACAATATAATGCATTGTGGATTACTTCATATTGATCAGGTAAATATATACTTTATAACCAATTGCTTTATAAGTTTATCTTTGATTCTTGATTATTTAACTCTTTTAAGGTCTAGAATTAAAAATACTGTCTTATGTAGTCATTTATTTATAAGTTTCTTTGATTTTGTAACCTCATTTGTTCTTAAGACATAGTTGAAAAGCTGTTATGTTAGGGGATTGACTTGATTATTAAATGTGTCTTTCCTAAACATAGTTGAAAAGCTATTAATTAGGGGATTGATTTGATTATTAAATGTATCTTTCCTCTAATGTTGTAACAACTAGTTTGCTTCTTTAAAGTATTAAACCATCTTTTGCTTAGACTGACTACATCTTATTTTAATGTCCTAATGTACTTATTCTTGGGTGTTTTGTAACTGTTACTTAATAATTGGCACTAGAGGCATGTGGATATGCTCATCTAGTAGTGAAATAGAGGATTTTTCTTCTCTAAGAGCTAGCCCATCACATTTTCTTATTTCCATAGATTGTATTAGCACAGTGACAATTATATTGGCTTGGCGTTTGTATCAATATAATCATTACATTAGAAAGTCAAAAATTTGACTGTAGAACATTATTTCAAGGGTCTTGATCCTGGCCATAAAACTGGAAAAAAAAAAAACCAAAAACAGAAACAATCACAAAAAACTATGGGAGGTTGTAAGTCATAGTAATGAAACATTTTTATCATAATGTGGTTAAATTTCACTTGCTGTTGATTTAAAGAACATTAAATTAATATTGAAAGAAGTAGTTATATCTCTCCTCCTGAAAAGTGAAAATACTACCTGCATTAATTTGAAATAATTACAGTGTTCTACCTTATAAACATGTCTCAAACAAAATGACGATCTTAGTTATTGACAGAGACCTTTTGTTTAAGATAAATCAGATTGAGTAATACAGTGTAAAACACTGCATCCTCATGGTAAATTCCAAAGGCTGGATATTTGTCATCAAAGGACTTCAGTTGATCTAATAAAGAGAATATCTCCAGTTGCCACATAATAGGTTATGCAGTTTTAAAGATCAGAGATATCATATGGAAGCAAATGGATGAGAGGAGGAACTACTCTGCAGTTCAGTTTTATAACACTTGAGCCTTATATTTTCAACCCCCTGAAGCAAAAAGCCTTCCATCTTGCTGTCTAGTGTGGAAAAAAAAAAAAAAAAAATGCTGTATTGATGTCAGTTAAACAAATATGTTTTAAGTTTATTTTGCTTTGACAGTATAATACCAAGCATGGATTATTTAGAAGAATTAAAATTAGTCTTTCCAGTTAGGCAGTGTATAGTAATTGCCTGTTTTATTATTTCATATGTTATCTATTTTTAAGGGTATTGATTAGCTGATACCCAAGATTAATTTATGATATTCTTTTCCCCTTCTTTTCTTACTTCTAAGGATATTGTCAATACAATCATCAAGCACTGCTCACCTCAGTTTTTTTCACTTGGTTTGCCTGGTGCCACAATGCTTATTATGGATTTTATTGTAGCAGCTGGTAGAGTGGCTTCTTCAGCTTTTCTCAATGTAAGTTTTTATTTCCTGTTCTTTATAATATAACAGACTGTGGTTAAATAGGCTCGACTAACAAAACAACAGAGAAGGAGCCCTTGTTAGTAAATTTAACAAGCTGATGATCAGGAAAACTTACAGTTTAATTGAAATTGCTTTTATTTTTTTAAGTAAAATTTGAAGTATAAGAAAGTACTAAAATTAGTTGATGGAATTGACACAGGAGCTATAAAAATGGATTAAAATCTGATAAAACAAAATTTAAAATTGAAGAAGTCTATGGAAACAAGTAGAGGCAGGGAAGAAACTAAAGAAAGGGCAGTGGGCCATAGCAAAAGAGAAGAAACAGATGAGATAATCCAGAAATATGCTCTAGGAGTAAACTCTAAACTCTGAAAAGCATGTGAGGATTTTTCATAATAGTTACGGAACTATGGAGACAATGCCAAGGAACTGGTATAGTTGGAAGACGTCCATATTTATGTAGCAGAGGTAAACTAAAGAGGAAGACAGTAGCTGGTTTATAGTGCTACGGAGGTTAGATTTTATCCTTAGGAAAGAATGAGCAAACATTGAGGGATTTTACGCAAGGAGTGTCATGATCAAATTTACTATGAAAACAATTCCTGTTCAGTAGACCAATTATTCTAGATGACTAGTCAGCACGTTTCCTGCACGTCTTTAAGGTTGTGCAGGAGAGTGGCACCTGGGTGGCTCAATTGGTTGAGTGTCCGACTTCAGCTCAAGTCATGATCTCAGTTTATGAGTTTGAGCCACACATTGGGCTTTACATTGACAGCACGGAGCCTGCTTTAGAGTCTCTGTCTCCCTCTCTCTCTCTCTCTGCCCCTCCCCCTCAAAAATAAACATTAAAAAATTAAAAAAAAAAGATTCTGCAAGAGAATTAAACCCTGATGTCCTTAGGAATCCATTTTATGTGATTAAATTTACCTCCTGTGCATCTAGAAGGATACTAGTTCTGTAACATCCTTGGGAAAATTTTTAAAAATAGTTATTTTCTGTTTGTGTGGTTCATATGAGGAACACTTGTTGAGAAAAACTGCATAGGAAAACAAATCATTACAGGAATCAAACCTGACACCTCATCTCTACTGTAAGTTTAAGGTCAGTCTTTTCCTCTGGATGATGTTGAAGATACATAGTCTAAATCTTCCTCTTTGGATTCCATTTTAGATCCCATACACATCATCTTCCTTCCCTTAATGGGAAGCCCCTTTTCTCCCTCTGCCAGGCAGCTTACAAAATAACTAATTAGGTTTTACCTTTATTAATTATAGTCACATTATAAGTATGCTCCCGTTATATCCACATACTTGCACATTCTCAGTTACCTTACCCAACTTTCAACAAAAACCCTTAGCTAATCTCTTTTTTAAATTAAATATTGCGTTTTTTATCAGTTTCATTTTTATAACTAATTTTTTTTTATTTAGAGACTTTAATTTTTTTAAGTAATCTCTACACCCAATGAGGGGCTTGAATTTATAACCCCAAGATCAAGAGTCACATGTTCTACTGACTGAGCCAGCCAGGTATACCTACAGATAATTTTAAATTGGGATGGTGGCTACAAGCTTGCCCTACCCCTTTATGGTATTGTCTTTTATCTGCAAATAAGGATTTTTTTTTAATATGGAAATGAGTTGTTTTGTTGATAATCATAATAGTACCACTCCACTGCCTCTTTTAAAACAATTAGAAACATAAGGAGATCCTGTGGAAGATAGGGTCTTGTTTTATGTAAATAGAAGGATTATGTTTCTAGCAAATTTATAAAGCATTTTTTTGGTATTATTAAACATATAATTCAATTCATAGATATTTTAGTAAACAAAGAAATATATTAGTAAGTGGGTGTTGGTGGGCGTGCAAGAAGGTAGAAGAAGAAACAGAAATGTTCAGTGCTGGGGCACCTAAGTGGCTCAGTCGGTTAAGCGTCTTACTCTTGGTTTTGGCTCACATCCTGATCTCATGGTTTCATGAGTTCGAGCCCCAAGTCGGACTCCACACTGACAGCACAGAGACTGCTTCAGATTCTCTGTCTCCCACTCTCTCTGCCCCTCTGCCACCCCCACTGTCTCTGTCTCTCAAAATAAGTAAACTTTTAAACAAAGAAAGAAATGTTCAGTGCTGATACTTCAGAAATGGCTTAATATATATATAGCTAAGAAAAAGAGGAAAAGTTACCTTCATCTGCAGGCCAACCATAAATTCTTACTTTGTTTTTAGTTAAGTACTATAGGCAATGCTTTTTTCACTTGGCATAATATTATAAAAACTGTCTAGACTAGTGCCTGTTTCTTGAAGATACAATTAATGTTCTTATCCTTAGTTACTTTTATCCTTAGGTAGTAACAAATATAATCTAGTGACATTGAGTCATCTGCTCATTAGTACACTATGTTTTGGTGTGTGAATTGCCTTTAAAATGAAAGTATGTATATTTTTTCTCAAAATTAGAGTAAATTTATGCTGTCAGCTAAGCTATATTCTTATTTGCAGTCCCATTAGGTGTGGCTGATTTCTGCTTAATTTGTTGTTCCTAAGGAGAGCTCTGCATTTACTGAGAATAGCAGTAGTTTATGTGCAAAGTATAGGTGAAAACCTCAACCTTTTTGTGTTGCTCCTTTCATTTTTAATTGTGTCTTATGCTCTCACTTCTCTTTGTACTGTGGTTAGGTCATGAAGTAATTTTCTGGTAATTTAATGACATAGTCAAATACATTTTAAAGATTTAAAAAATCTGACACATAGGCACCAAGAGTGGAAGCACAAGTTCTTCTGGGATCCTTGGTTTGTTTTCCTAACTTATATTGTGAACTCCCTGCTCTCCATCCCAACATTCCTGATATTGCCATGTCTCAGTTTACAGATGTTAAGGTAAGAAATCAGTTGCAAATTTTTAGTATTTAAATGACTTTTTAAGTAATGTATGTTTGATAAAATTTGTGTTCTTTTCCTTTAGAAATCCACATAATCGTTAAAGAACGTTAGCCAGCCATACCCATCAGACACAAAGCTAGAATGTCTGTTAGGAGCATAGCCTTTTTTGTGTTGATAACTTCTTTGGAAATGTTTTCTCATTATTGAATCCATTCATATGCCAATATCATAGGATTCTTTTATTTGCTCACTGAACATTTATTGAAACATCCTATGAGACACATAGTAGGCTACTTCTAAAGCTCCTAAGATTGAGATGGTACTAAACCTGCAAATTTGACTCTCTCTCTCTCTCTTTCTCTTTCTCTTTCTCTTTCTCTCTTTCTCTCTCTCTCTCTCTGTCTCTCGTAATTTCCCAATGTGATGTATCAAACAGTGTAATGGAAATATTCTGTTTTGCTGTAGGAAAGTGTGGAATTGGGGTGGGAATCTTATGTATCTGAGGCCTCATAGCTCCTCAGAAGTCATGCTGATAATTTTTTTTTAATTTTGGTTTTCTCTGAAAGTTTTTCAATCCAGTTTTTGTCGGGAGTTCTGCATGTATTTTTCATGCCACCCATATTTCTCTTTACAACATTTATAACATCTATAATTACTTATTTAGTGTTTAGTTTATACTTCAGACAAACACCACAGTAGGTCCTATTTACCTAGTAAAAGGTCCTATTTACTGCTGTATCCTCAGAGTTTAACAGGCTGCTTGGCATCTGGGACTCCTGAAACATTTGTTAAACAAGTGACTTTCAGTTACACATAAAATTGCGTTAGGTCAGTGCAGATTTACAATGACAATTAATAAAAACTATACCTTTGGTCTTCAGAGATGTCATATTTTTGGTTTCTTCTATTTTCAGAAGATCCTGAAGGTCAGGGATAGGTAGTAGTTTTTAAGTTTGTTAGGGATTAGCCTAGCTTACTACATATGATCTGCATTTCAGAGTGGACTTGTTCACTTCTGGCCATTGTATATAGGTAGTAATGGCTGAAATGATTAAAAAAATCAAACTTTGGGGAAGGGGTATTTCCAAAATAAAAGCTAATTCTGTTAATGATGAAGAAAGCAAAAAGCCTAAGAAAATGATAATTATTCTCATTCAGAAAAGTGAAGATTTAAGGGAAAGTCACATGCCACAGTGGTCATATATAGTTTTCACATTTTCACTGAAAACCACTCCCCGCGTACTCTAAACTGCAACCATATAGCCACATGGCACATACCATGCTGTTTTTCGATTCTGTGCCTTTGAAAACCCATTTCTTTCTGCCTAAAACATCATTATATAGACCTGGTTTCTTCTTCTTGTCTCTCTTAATCACTCAAACATAATCTTTGACCTTGATCATTTGTCAAAATCCTATTTACCTAAGACCCTTTTGTGAAGTCTTCTGTGACTTTCTGAAGTTAAAGTTAAGTAACTGTTGTCTTAACCATCTGTTTCTTTCCAGCATTTAAGACAGGATCTAAGACATAGAAAGCTCTTGGGCTTAAATGGATACCTTTCAAGTATCTATTAATTGCCAGCCACTGGGCTAGATGCTAAGTTTACAAAGATAAGTAGTTTACTCCTCTTAAGGAGCTTACAATCTGTGTAGCTGATAAGTGCTTTTTGAATATATGAATGAATGAATGATTATTTTTGAAAAAAAGGAATAGATTCTTAATCATCAAACCTAATGTCATTCTTGTTTTCCTTTCCTTAGCCACTATAGTACTAGTCCAGTGTTGATGTTCCTGACTTCCGAAATCTCTTCAATTTTGACTTATGTTGCACAGATCTATCTTGATTTTCTTCTTGCTTCTGTAAATATTCTGTGACTCCTTAATAGACTAGTTTTCTTTCCCTGCTTGCTAAACATAAACTTGTTACAAGATCCTCTTTAGATAATGACTTTCTCTTTATTCTGCCTTTTGAATGTTTTATTCATTTACATAATTTTAACTATTATTTAGCACTTATCCCCAAACTCACATATTATCATGTTTTACAAATTATCAAAAAGAAGAAGCTTGCTTTTAAATGAATATTTCTGAGAGTTTTGAAACGATGTTCGTACTTTTGAGCAATTAAATCTTTTTTCATTATAGTGAGCTTTTTATTACTCTTCTAATCAGGAAAAAAGGATTCTTTTTTCGAACATATGTATTTGGTTATAAATTTCAGAAATAATTTGCTTTAATTTGTTTGTGCTGCTCTAACAAGATACTACCAAAAAAAAAAAAAAATAGTACCGACTGGGTTGCTTATAAATGACATAAATTTATTCCTCATAGTTCTGATGGCTGAGATGTCCAAGATCAAGGCTCCAGCAAAGTTGTATTCTGGTGAGGGCTTTCTCGCTGGTTTATAGCTGGCACCTTCTCACTGTGTCTTCACAGAGTAGAAGGAGTTAGAGAGTTCTGTGGTGGTCTCTTTTATAAGAGCATTAATTCCATTCATAAAGTCTCCATCCTCATGACCTAATAAGCACCTACTAATGCCATCATCTTTGGGGGTTAGGATTTTAACATAAGAATTTTGGGGGGACATAAACATTCAGACCATACCATTGTTTTATTTATTTAGCTAATTTTATGAATAATATTAGACTGTATTAAAAGTATATGGGTGAGAACAAAGACTTTTATTTCCTTGTTGTATCCCTAGCACCTGGCACAGTGTCTGGGCTCATAGTGGCCATTTAATAAATACTTGTTGAATGGATGAATGAATGAAATTTTAGTCATTACCATTATTTCTTCCTTTATTCTAGGAACTTATAATCAAAACTGTATTAAGCTCAGCAAGAGATGAGCCCTCTGGCCCTGCACGGTAGGTCAGATATCCTTAAGACTTGACATAACTATTCTGTTTTTGGAATCTTATTGTAGAAGTTGATTGAATTATTCAGCAGTCCAGATTGTTTCAAATACACAAAAGCTGTTTTGAATTATAAATCTAAATTATTTATATTATTAAATACTTACTCTTTTCATGATTTGAATACAAACCTTCCTTCATTAATAAAATCCTAGGGGCACCTGGGTAGCTCGTTCAGTTAAGCATTTCACTTTGGTTCAGGTCATGATCTCGCGGTTTGTGAGTTCGAGGCCTGCATCGGGCTCTGTGCTGACAGCTCTGAGCCTGAAGTCTGCTTCAGATTCTGTGTCTCCCTCTCTCTGCTTCTCTCTCTCTCTCAAAAATAAGTAAACATTAAAAAAAAAATCTTAAAAAAATAAAATCCTGGTCACCTTGTTCAGTGTCTTTACCTTCTATATCTAAAATGATTTAATTTTATTCAAGTACATTTTGCTTTCCCTTCACATTTTATTTGTCACTATCTCTTATGCAATACTTTGTAATGTACTAGTAATTACCCAATGAATATTTTTTAAGTTGAATTCAAAGGAAATATTTTTAATGTAGAAAAAAATAGGAAAATTTATAAATATTTTATCAGGGTATTTTTTAAAAATAGAATATAAAAAGACTTTAGAATGTTTTCCCTTCTATACATCTTGTTAAGAAGTGAAAACTGTCATTTTCTCTGTTTTACTAGACCTTTCCAGAAAGATGGAGATTTAAATCAGCAGGATACCAATAACACACCATGTTCCTTCTTTTCTCAAAAATATCATTAATTTATATTTTCTATTTCTTGAAGCTAATTCTAATACTATGTAATTAGCCTCAGTAGTAGTCTGCGTTTACTACTATTCTGACCTACATGTCTGGAATGCTTCCTCTTTTCCTAACATCTGCACATTTTTTTGACCCAAGGTTCTAAAAAATATGGATTATGGCTTTGACCATTTGGATTCTAATTGCAATTTAAACCTTTTAACAGCAACTAGAATTAATGTAAAATGAGCAGTTTGCTTAAATGAGACATAGCTCTAGCCTTTAATGCAGTTGGATATTTTTCTTGATAGCCAAGTTTAACTAGAAACAAATCTCTTTGAATAAATTCTTCTTTTACATTAGTTTCATTTTAATACTGGATAACTACTCCAGAAAATGACGTTGTCTTTCCATTATTCCCATATTTTCATTTCTGGTAGCCTTAACCCCAAATGTGATTATTATCAATATTATTTCTTTAACATTTGCTATGCTAATGATTAATAATGATAACCTTTTAAGTTTATAAGGATTTTCCTGTCAAATTGTTCCACTTAATCCTCATCACAATTCTAAGAAATTACTGGAATCATTATTCTTCCAACTTTACTAGCAAAAAACTGATGGCTTAGAAAACTAACATTTATTCTGTGCTAGGCACTGTTCTGAACACCTTATTACCTCATTTAATCTTTGCAACATTTCTAGGACATATGTGCAGTTTTTATCTGATTTTTTTATAGATGGGAGCCCAGAGAATTTAAAGAATCTGCCCTATCATCCAAAAATGGCAGACCCATGATTGCAACTCTGGCATTTTGTCTTCAGAGCCGTATCAGATATATAAGTAATAAGTGACAGAACCAGATTTGAACTTCGAGCTTCAGATCCTAGATCTTCTGCCTTTTTCTTTTTCTTTTTTTTTTTTCTTTTTTAAACTGTGTTGCCTCTCAAGTGAAAGAACATTGAAGCATAAAACATAGCTGCCCAGAAGTAGACTTGGGAATCATTAACACATTAGCTTGTCTTGAGAGTATAGGGAAATCCCAAAAGTTGAATATAAGTATTTTCTAAACTTGCTTTCCTTTCAGGAATGTGAGGTCTTAGAAGACCCCCAAATCTGACCAGGAGCACAGACTTGAGCCATACTGGGACTAGTCTAAATTATTTGAATATCTTGAAGAATGTAGGAAACACACAAACATACACACACCCACACATGCACACACAAATTTGATCTTACCCCTCAATTACAAAAATGTCTGTTAAGCATTTTACTTTTGGTCTGTGTTAATTAGCTGCATTCATGGAGTTTATTATTACTCTAGGATTACAGTGCTTCCCACTGCTAAACCTGAAACTTGGTTATTTAGATCTAGAATATTTATAGGTGGGCAACAGTAGGGAAGAAATAAAGCAGTAGACTTCGCTTAGAAGACTTTATGGTATTTTATTTTTTTAATGTTTATTTATTTTTTTGAGATAGTGTGCAGGTGGGGAAGAGGTAGAGAGAGACAGGATCTGAAGCAGACCCTGCGCTAAGAGCAGAGAGCCCAGTGTGAGACTCGAACCCACAAACCTGATCATGACCTGAACTGAGATCTGACACTCAACTGACTGAGCCATCCAGGCATCCTTTGGTACTTTTGATAGTAAATAATTTATTAGCATTAACACTGTGATAAACTGAAAGAAGACACTTAACTTCTGATCATCTGTGTTCAGGAAGAAAACAATTTCTGCATTGAATTGTTCTGAAATTTAGCATTCTACTGAAAAAATGTTAAGAATATCATCATGGGGAGGGGGACACCTGGGTGGCTCACTCAGTTAAGCATCCGACTCTTGATGTCGGCTAAGGTCATGATCTCAGGGTTGTGAGATCGAGCCCTGTGTCAGGCTCCATGTTCTGCACAGATCTTGCTTGGGATTCTCTCTCCCCCTCTCTCTCTGCCCCTACCCCACTTGTGTGTGCGTGCTCTTGCTTGCTCTCTCAAAATAAATGAATAAACTTTAAAAAAAGAGAAAGAATGTCCGTATCAGGACATGCCAAGTATAGCAGAATACTAGAATGAGTTGACATTTTTAAGGAGTTGAGGGAACCAATATGTGCTTCATCAGAAGCTTATACTTGAAACACTAATGGAATTTTTACTGATTCTTTTACTGATTCTGATCATCTAATAAGTCCCTTCAAGCTGAAACTCAGTTGAAGTAGGGAAATGAAGTTTCACAAGACATTAGGGGATAGAAAAAATTATGCAAATTCTGTTTCTTTTGGAATCTCTTTATAAAACATATGAATTTTATTTGTATTGCCAATTTGTTTTAAAGAATTTATAGCTGGCTATGTTAGATTTAAGGGTTATGAAAATAATCTTTGACCCAGCAGCTTCATGTTTTTGCTGAAGTTCATTTGGTGCTGTCAACAAAATCACACTTTCCTTTTTTGAAAGCAGGTTACATATTTGTTTGGGACGCTTTATGGCAATATCAATTTATTAACATAGGTTTGTTAGAAAGATCCTGTGTGTTATCCCCTCCTATGAGATTGTTAGCAAATTATATTTGAAAATTAGGCTTTTAGTTTGGAGCCCTGTGCTGTCCTCCTACTTTCTCTTGCTAAGAAGAGCTAATATACAGAATAAAAATTGATTCATTTAAACAGTGCATGTTCTTTCTAGGATGGTTTGTTTTGGTATTTTGGTTGGGGTGGTGGTTTCATTTCATTTCAAGTCTCATGCACTTTTATTTATATCATTGTTGGTTGCCTTTTTTGCAGATGTGTAGCACTGTGCAGTTTAGGTATTTGGATTTGTGAAGAACTAGTCCATGAGTCTCATCATCCTCAAATTAAGGAAGCTCTGAATGTAATTTGTGTTTCCTTAAAGGTAAAAAAAAGAACCTGTTTAGTGGAATATATTGATACAGAATGCATGACTTTTTGTCCAAGTGTTTATTATATCTTATGTCTTTATAGGATAAGACATTTATTAAATGTTACATTTTATTATTATTCATTTATTAACACATTATTTCCTTGATCTTGACTTTTTCCTTGAGTGGTCCTACTCTTGAATGTAAGGGTATTGTGGTGATCACCAATTTTATCTCAGCTTTTTATGTCATTTAATTTGTAAGGTCATTTATATTTTCCTAATCATTATTTTTGTAAGTTACTCTTCAGTCCTTATTACTTCCTGAATTCTTGAGCTGTTGCATGATTTGGGTTTATTATTCAAGTTAAATGGTCTCTTTGTAACTAACAAGAGTAAGATTTGTTAAAAAATAATAGCCTAATTATTTGGAGAGTGTGAATGAGTAAATTTTTTGCTTGGGAAAGTATGCATGATATTATTTTTGTCTTAAAACTTCTAATGCACTTTCTATATAGAATGTAAACATAAAAAGTACAAATATTACTTATATGACAAATATTTGTGTCACAGTATGTGCTATGTTTGAGGTGCTTTGCTGGTCAGATTGAGGGATATCAGAAGGAAAAAAAATTATAAAAACTAGATTCAAAAGTTAATAATATGATGACTGGAGAGATTAAAATAAGAGTAATAAAACAAAAAGCTGAGAGAACCAAATGAATAGTGCGTGTAAAATGCTGATTGAGGTCAGAGGAAACATCAACTTTGACTTGGGTGTTAGAGAAGACTTTGGAAATAGGAGACATTTGGTTAGGGCTTGAAGAGTGGGGGACATGTGGTCATAAAAAGCTGAGCTTAACAAGTTTGACTTTATGCCGTTCGGGAGTCATCTGAGAACTTTAAGCATAAAGAATGTGAGCATCAGAGCAGTTCTTTAGAAGATTAATTTGAAAATATTGTGTAGAGTTGATTGGAATGGGGAACAGATTGGAATGGAGAAAAGACTGAAAAGATTACAGGCTGTTGCAGAAATTTAGGTGAGGGAAAATGGAATAAAACTTTAATGGAGACAAACATTCAAAATCAAAAATAAAAATTGTGTTTTTGGAATATATTGTGAATTCTTATTTTGCAACTATATATTTATCCTCTTAATAGTATTTTAATACACAAATTTAGAGTAAAAAAAGAAACAGGTATGAAATTTAAAGTTTTTCAGCAACTAATGCATTAATGAATAATTTGTTGTTGTTGTTATTACAGTTTACCAATAAAACAGTAGCCCATGTAGCTTGTAACATGCTTCACATGCTGGTTCATTATGTACCTAGACTTCAGATTTACCAACCTGATTCTCCCTTGAAAATTATTCAAGTAAGTTATTTCTCATTTATTTATTATGACCCTGTTAAAAAACCTTTAGATTTGGATACCTTGAAATATAAAATTATTTAATAATTTCTTTAAATTTTGCATGGCTAAATAATGGCAACCCAGGCTGGTTTTTTTGGTTTTTGGTTTTTGGTTTTGGTTTTGGTTTTGGTTTTAGATATCAAAGTTCATGACAGTCCTTTTGTATTTTATGTTAGGAGACTCTGTTCTTGGTTTTAAATGCTACATGCAAATTGGTAATTGCCATCATCTTTATTAATGTATATTCTGCTTCATTCCCTCTCTTAGGTGAGAAAACATATCATCCCTCCAGTTACCAGAATCAGGACATTATTTTGATTCATCCCTTTTCTTTCCTCTTCAGCTAATCATAGATGAAATTTGTTTTTGAAAAATTATTTTTTAATTTTAATTTTGTGTCTCCAACGCTTCCTGCAACACCTGACCTCCTATACTTTATACAATACCTGACCTGTTTCATTATTTCTTTCTTGAGATGCTGTTGTAGCCTTCTGACTAATCCCCTGGCTTCTGAGGTCTTCCCCGCCAAGTTGTCATTTCACATTCACATGACTCTGACACCTACCTGAAAAAAACAAAACTCAGCAATATCTCTGAGTGGTTTTCCTTTGCCTATAAAATAAGACCCATGTTCTTTATCTGGGAATTTGAAGCCTTCAGATGAGGCCTCAACCCATCTTTTTAAAATTATGTAGAGATTCCATGTGCTCGCTTCGGCAGCACATATACTAAAATTATGTAGAGATTCCTTTGAAGTATCCTGTTGCCCACATACCTGAGTCGACTTACTATCTCCTGAACATACCTTGACTCTTCCTACCTGAAATGTTCTACTTCTTTTATCCTCCCTTCATCTTTCAGTGATTGGTTTAATACCATCTCCTCAAAAAATAAGAATCTTTATCTCTTCTCTCCAACCAGAGTTTATCTATCTTCATATTCTAATAAAATTTTTAGGAAATATAACAATTAATATTTATTAAGCACCTATTATGTACCAGTCGCTATACCAGCCACTTTTTCATAAATTACCTCATTTAATTCTTAAGTCTTTTGAGGTAGACTGTTACTTGCCTCCCACCACCTTTATTTAACATGAGAGAACTGAGGATTTAGTAACTATATGAAGTCACAAGCTAGCAGGGTAGAAATAGTTCATACCCAAGTGTGTAAGATTTTAAGTCCGGGCTTTTCTGGCTCAACCATTTTGCCAACCTCTATTTCAGCACAAAATATATTTGTGTACAAATTCAAAAATGCCCTCTAAGGGCATTTTTCTTCTTTATTATTTTTTATGTCTAGGGTGACTTTCATGTAGAATATGTTCAGTGGGTATCTTTTGAGTTGAAAATATGTAGTATTATGGTTAGGAAGTTAGGTTTGAGGATTAGACATTCCTGGTTTAACTAACCCCTGATTCAACCATTTACTAACTTTGTAACTATGAACAAGTTACTTGGCTCTCTGAACTCACGTTTTCTTTATCTTTACATTTTTCTTTATATTTTTACATTTTCTTTACATTTGTGATAAAAATATCTAGCTCATAGAGTTGCTCTGAAGACTAAATGAGAAAACATATCAAACAGCTTAGAACTTTTTGCCTTAAAATTATGAAGCATTAATTTTAATCAATGTTGGCTGCAGCTATTATAATTATGCAGGACATGATTACTGGGTGTAAATGTGAATGCAATGTATGTTAGTATTAAAACGTTTGAAGATTTTAACCTTTAAGGTTGATTATTCTGTTTGAAAATTAAGGTCATTTTAAAAAATTTTTTTAAACTTTTATTTATTTTTGAGAGAAAGAGAGTGTGAGCAGAGGAGGGTCAGAGAGAAAGGGAGACACAATCAGAAGCAGGCTCCAGGCTCTGAGCTGTCAGCACAGAGCCCAGTACGGGGCTCGAATGAGCCGTGAGATCATGACCTGAGCCGAAGTCGGAGGCTTAACTGACTGAGCCACCCAGGCGTCCCTGAAAATTAAGATCATTCCTTAAGCAGATTTTTCTTTTTTTCATTTGAAAGTCTGCAAATCCTTTCCCTTATTTTCTTTATCAGTTTATATATTATTAATACTCACCTAAGTACTTCTTAAGTATGCAGAATTTTTTCACATTGCTTCATTAAACATTATAGGGGTCAATGGCTATAGATAAACATGAAGAGTTATTATATTCCACTTCTAGTTGAATGGAGAAGTGAAATCCCAAAATAGTGGAGCATTTCACTAATGTTTACCTGTTTGCATAGTTACGAATAGAAGCCCAGCCAGTTCCAGTACCAATATTAAGCGGATGTATCTAATATTCTACATTCTATTAGCAAATAAAAGCCTTTTACTGTGTAAAGTACATTTACATTTCTACTTGATGCATTGAAGCAATAACTTACGAAAATATAATAGCATACAATAAACTTACCCCTATACATTTTTAACATGCACATAAAAAAGTTTAATGAGATCAAAAAATTTCCAGGGTAAATAACACTGTATGTGAATATTTTGCCTTCTTTTAATAATTTTTTATTATTTCATATTTTTTATCAAATTTATTCATTACACAGCTTAGTGTACATGTTAATTTAAAAAGCCAGATTATAAATTTTTTTAAAGCATATATTTATCTACACACACACACACATGTACACAGGAATGTCTGGAAAGACAAGAGAGTAGATTTCTTTTTCTTTAAGTAATGTCTACACCCAACATGGGGCATGAACTCAACCTCAAGATCAAGAGTCACATGCTCTACTGACTGATCAGCCAGGCACCCTTAGAGTAGATTATTTTTTTTTCCCTCCAACTTTATTGAGGAATAATCGACAAATATAATTGTATATATTTAAAGTATATAGTGAGGGGCGCCTGAGTGGCTCAGTTGGTTTAGTATCCAACTTCGGCCCAGGTCACGATCTCCCAGTTTGTGGGTTTGAGCCCCGCATCGGGCTCTGTGCTGACAGCTCAGAGCCTGGAGCCTGCTTCAGATTCTGCTTCCCTCTCTGTCTGCCCCTCCCCTGCTCGTGGTCTGTCACTCTCTCTCTCAAAAATAAACATTAAAAAAAAATAAAAATAAAAGCATACAGCGTGATGATTTGATAATTATGGAATGATTACTAAGGTAAAGATAATTAACACATCTATTATCTCACATAGTTAACTGTTTTTTGTTTTGTTTTTTATGGTGAGAATGCTTAAAGTCTACTCTTAGCAACTCCTAGATATTCAGTGTATGATTAACTATAGTCACCATGCTGTACATTAATTAGATCCTCAGAACTTACCCTTTTTATAGTAAAACTGAAAATTTATGCCCTTTGGCCTATATTTCCCCATTTCCCTCTTCTCTTCCCAGCCTCTGGCCACCACTATTCTATTCTCTATTTTTATGAAATCAGCTGTTTTTGTTTACTTGGTTGGTTGGTTAGTTGGTTGGGTTTTTTGTTTTTGTTTTTTTTAAAGATTCCACATATAAGTGATACCATACAGTATTTGTCTTTGGCTTATGTCACTTATGGTAATGCCTTCCAGTTTCATCTATGTTGTCACAAATGGCAAGATTTCCTTTTTTATGACTGAACATTAATATTCCATTGTGTGTATATATACATAGATTTTTTTGTATTCACTTATTCATTGTAGGACACTTATTTAGATTGTTTCTGTATCTTTGCTATTGTGGATAATACTGCAGTGAACATGAGTGTTGAGGGATCTCTTTGATATACCCATTTCATTTCTTTAGATATACAGTCAGGAGAAGGATTACTGGATCATATGGTAGTTCTATTTTTAATATTCTGAGGAACTTCCATACTGTTTTCTATAAAGACTGTACCAGTTCAGATTCCTGCCAACAATGTATATCGGTTTTCTTATCTCCACATCCTTGCCAACATCTGTTATTTCCTCTCTTTTTGAAAATAGCTATTACAACAGATGTAAGGTGATATCTCATTGTGGTTTTGATTTGCATTTTCCTTGTGATTAGTGATATTGAGCACCTTTTTATATACCTATTAACCATTTGAATGTCTTCTTTGGAAAAAGTTTATTCAGGTCCTTTGCCCATTTTTAAATTGGATTATTTCCTTTTTTGTTATTGAGTTGTATGAGCTCTTCATATATTTTATATATTAGTCCCTTATCCAGAAACATGGTTTTCAAATATTTTCCCCCGTTTCATCAGTTGCCCTTTCAATTTATTGTTTACTTTGCTGTGCAGAAACTCTTTAGTTTGATGTAGTCCTACTTGCTTATTTCAGCTTTTGGTGTCTGTGCTTTTGTCTTATCCAAGAAATCACTGCCAAAACCAATGTCAAGAATATTTTCCCAATGTTTTCTTCTAGGAGCTTTATGGTTTCTTCTAGGAGTTTAAATTTAAGTCTTTGATCCATTTCAAGTTAATTTTTGTGAGTGGTGTAATATAGGGGTCCAGTTTCATCTTTTTGTATGTGGATATCCAGTTTTCTTAGCACCATTTATTGAAGATACTGTCCTTTCACCTTTGTATACTCTTGGGGCCCTTGTCAAAGATTAGTTGACTGTAAGTGTGTGGCTAGTGCCTATGTCCTAGGCTCTCTATTCTGATCCACTGATCTATGTGCCTGTTTTTATGTCAGTACCTTACTGTCAGTACTGTTCTGATTACTATAGCTTTATAATATAGCTCAAAATCAGGAAGTATGATGCCTCTAGTTTTGTTGTTCCTCAAGAACACTTAGGTTCTTTGGGGTTTTCTATGGTTCCATATAAAATTTAGAATAGTTTTTTCTTTTTCTTTTTTAAAAAAATTTTTTTTAACGTTTATTTTTTTTGAGACAGAGAGCATGAACGGGGGAGGGTCAGAGAGAGAGAGGGAGACACAGAATCCGAAACAGGCTCCAGGCTCTGAGCTGTCAGCACAGAGCCCGACACAGGGCTCAAACTCACAGACTGCAAGATCATGACCTGAGCCGAAGTCAGACGCTCAACCGACTGAGCCACCCAGGCGCTCCAGTTTTTTTCTTTTTCTAAGAAAAATGCCATTGGAATTTAATAGAGATTACATTGAATCTTAGATCACTTTGAATAGTATGAACAGTTGATCCAGTTCTTCCAATCTATAACATGGGATATCTTTCCATTTATTTGTATCTTCTTCAGCTTTGTTGATCTGTGTTTTATAGTTTTCACTGTACAGATCTTTTACCTCCATGGTTATATTTAGTCCTACGTATTTTATTTTGATGCTACTGTAAATTGGATATCTTTCTTAATTTCTTTTTCTGATAGTTCATTGTTAGTATATAGAAATGCAACTGATTTTTATATATTAATTTTGTATCCTGAAACTTTACTGAATTCATTTATTAGTTCTGACACTTTTTTGGTGGAATGTGTAGGGTTTCCTGAATATAAGATGATGTCATTTGCAAACAAATAATTTTACTTCTTCTTTTGAGATTTGGGTACCTTTTAATTCTTTTTCTTCCCTAATTGCTATGGTAGGACTTCAGGTATTATGCCGAATAAAAAGCACAGTTGTGGGCATCCTTGTCTTATTCCTGACCTTAGAGGAAAACTTTTAACTTTTCACCATTGAGTATGACTTTAGCTATGAGCTTGTTGTATAAGGTCTTCATCATGTTGAAGTACGTTCCTTCTATAACTAATTTCATAAGCAGAATAGATTTCTTGAGTGATATGATTGCAGATGTTTTTTATAAATATTTTTGCTTATCTATATCCTCTCATTTTCTGTTAACATATATGTGTGTTTATATTGATTCATGAATTGAATTTGTAAGAAATCCATTTATAGTTGACAGTTTATATAATTCTGGTTCTATATACATGGAGATTTTAAATGATTGATAGTTAAGTATACTTGAAAAGCTTACCTATTTAAAAATTACTTTGAAATAACATTGTTAATGTATTTAGGATTTAAAAATGTATTTAAGGTAAACTTTTATCAACAGATTTTATATCGCTTTGTTAGCATTAACACTTAAGTTTTAAGATGCATCATTTAACATATTTTTGAACTCTTTTTTTCTTTGCTGACAGATCCTAATAGCCACTATTACCCATCTTTTGCCAAGTACAGAAGCTTCATCTTATGAAATGGATAAGAGGGTAATTTAAGTTTTGTTTGATACTTAATATGTATTTATCTAGTAAAGTCTTTATATTTTAAAATTGCAAAGATACATATATTTACATGGTAAACATTAATTCATTTTGTGTTTAAAAATCACTATAATGTGAAATATATCTTTACATTATTTAAGTGTAAATTATATTTTAGTTCAGATTTTGAGTTAATCATGATTATTTGATAAAGTCTTCGAATATCAGGGTGTTGAGGAATGTTGGAGAACATTCTGTTCATTTATAACTATTTCATTTTATCCTGCCAAGTTACGGCCTTTTTTATGCCTGAAAATTAGTAATTCCGAGGAATTCTTCAAATCTGAAGGCAGCCATATATCTTTATATAGCTGTTATTGGTAGAAAATAACAAAATTTCCATTAAGGAGAATACGTATAATAGAGATATGACACACAGAAAAAGGCATACCCTCTGGCCACAGAAAGTTCTACAAGATTGAATTTACTCAGTAAATTCATTGTGAGACTATTATAATTATTTCAGGTATTGTATTTATCAAGCTAAAGTTTTTGTTTGGTTTCTTTTCATAGTTTCTATATCTTTCCTGAAATCTGCATTTCTTCATCAATTATATTTATCTTGTCTTCCAGATTTTTAACATTTTTTTTACCGTTTTATAATGTGAAAAGGGGAGAGGGAAGAGGGAGAAGGAGAGAGAATCTTAAGCAGGCTCCACAACTCACTGTGGAGCCTGGCCTGGGGCTCAATTCCATGACCCTGCGATCATGTTTATCATAATTATTTTATTTTTTTTATTTTTAAATTTTTTTTTTCAACGTTTTTATTTATTTTTGGGACAGAGAGAGAAAGAGCATGAACGGGGGAGGGGCAGAGAGAGAGGGAGACACAGAATCGGAAACAGGCTCCAGGCTCCGAGCCATCAGCCCAGAGCCTGACGCGGGGCTCGAACTCATGGACCGTGAGATCGTGACCTGGCTGAAGTCGGACGCTTAACCGACTGCGCCACCCAGGCGCCCCTATCATAATTAAAGTCCTTATCTGCTAAATTCATTATCTGGGTTATTGCTGAGTCTGTCTATTGAAATATTTTCCTCTTGACTATGGATTCCATTTTCCTGTTTGTTCATATGTCTGTTAGTTTTTTATTATATATTAGGCATAGTACATAATATATCATAGAGACTTTAGATCTGTGCTGCCCAGTATAGTAGCTACTAACCACATGTGACTTTAAATTTAAATAAAATTAAGAGTTTATGTTAACGGGGTAGCTGGGTGGCTCAGTTGGTTAAGCATCTGACTCTTGATTTCAGCTCAGGTCATGATCTCACAGTTGTGACATTGAACCCCTCAGAGGGTTCTTTGCTGGGCATGGAGCCTGTTTGAGATTCTCTCCTTCTCCTTCTGACCCTTTCACACTTGCACGCATGCATGCGAACACTCTCTCTCAAAAAATAAAATTAAATAAATAATAAAATTTAAAACATTTATGTTAAAAATTTGTTCCTTATTTGTGCTAGCCACATTTCAGGTGCTCAATAGCCACGTAGCCAAATACACACCATTTCCATCATTGCACAAAGTTCTATTAATCAAGACTATTCTAGATTCTACTTATTTCCTCTGAAAATTATTCTTTTCCTTTCCATTTTCACATCCCAGTCTTGCAATTCTATTCTCCAGATCTCAGTGTCATCATCCTTTAATCATATGGTATTGAAATTTCAAGTATGTTTTATTTCTTAGGCTCTGCCCATTAATTTACGGAAATCTGAAGGTATAATTATGTTTCAGACCTATTCTCAGTTATTTTCTTGTGTGCCTTGCATAACTTTTTAACTTTTGGTCTCTTCATGTTATTCCTCTTGTCTTCTGTATCTCTAATTGTATGAGTTTACCTCAGAAATTTTTATTCCTCTTCATATTCAGTTTAAAATCCATTTGATCAGATTATCTAGACCTTGATAAATACATTTTTCCTCATCTTTAAAAGATACATATTCTCTATTTTAGCCAGGAGTTCTTCATTTTAGTATCTTGGACTGTGGTTTAGAATTTCAAATCTAATTTGTGAAAAGTATCTGGATAACTAATTAGCCATTTCCTTCTAGATCATCTTTGTCTTCCAAAGCCTAGCTATTAATATGAAAAATCTCCACTATTCAGTTTTTGTTTCTTGCTCACTTAATTCATTAAATATTTATTGATCACAAAGTATGTGTATGATATTCTGCTTGGAACTAATTAAGTAGATATAAATAAGGTAGCCTCTGCTCTCATGGATTTTAAAGATTAGAGCGGCAAGTGAGCGGCAATCCAATTAGAGCAGCAATCCAATATAAGAAATGCTTACTATAAAAAGCAGAAAAATGTGTATGACACAGGGTAGGATAGAGGAGGAAGTGATTAACTATCCAATCAGAGGGCTTATTAAGGGAGAACTTCTTTTTTTAATTTTTAAGAAAATTTTTCTAACATTTACTTAGTTTTGAGAGACTGAGAGAGACAGAGCATGAGCAGGGGAGGGGCAGAGAGAGAAGGAGACACTGAATCTGAAGCAGGCTCCAGGTTCTGAGCTGTCATCACAAAGCCCGATGCAGGGCTCAAACCCATGAACCATGAGATCATGACCTGAGCCGAAGTCAATTGCTTAACTGACTGAGCCACCCAGGCACCCCAGGGGAAAACTTCTAAAAGATGATAGGGTTTTCTACATAAATGGAGACAAGGATTGGAGTCAAAGTGTTATTCCAGTTGTAGGGAATAGCATGTATAAAATCATGTAGGTATAAAATGTATGGTATGTTATGGGAGAACAATAGGCAATTAGATATTATAGGATGTGAAGTGTATGCTTCAGAGAAGGGAAATTAGGCATCAGAGATACAAAAGGGTCAGGATATGGAGAGCCTTGGATGCCACACTAAGAACTTTGGACCTTTGTGAAAGTCCTTTTTTTGAAAATGACCTTTTGGGGATGCCTGGGTGGCTTAGTCAGTTAAGCGTCCAACTCTTGATTTTGGCTCAGGTCATGATCTCACAGTTGTGATTGAGCCCTCACATCAGGCTCCATGAGGAGCATGGAGCCTGCTTGGGATTCTCTCTCTCCCTTGCTCTCTGCCCCTCCCTCACTCACACTCCCCCCCTCTCTCAAAATAAATAAATTTTTTTAAGTGAGTTTTTTGGGGGCATCTGGGTAGCTCGGTCAGTTAAATGTCCGACTTCAACTCAGGTCATGATCTTGCAGTTCATGAATTCAAGCCCCATGTCAGACTCTGTGCTAACAGCTTGGAGCCTGGACCCTGCTTTGGATTCTGTGTCTCCCTCTCTGCCCTGCTCGTGCTCTGCGC